CCAATGTCCACGCAGCGCTTCAGCCGACAGGCCTGGCAGTGCCGCCGGTTGTCCTTGGTGATTTTGCAGTCCCCATTGAAGGGGCAGGTGAACATGGCTTTTCTCTTCATGCTTCTCCTGGAGAGAAAGGGGAATAAAAACCATCTTGGGTCAAACCAGCACCATTTGGATGGTGCAAGAGGCTGCTCCGAGCATCCGGAGGAGATGCAAAGCATCAATCCAGCTTCTGGGCAGCAAACTGCTGGAGAGAGGTTGCTAAGAGGATGCTGGAAGCATCTCTGGCTTGTTCAGCTCAGCATGGGAGGCTGAACCTGGCTGGGTGCATCTGTGGGTTTGCTTTTAGAGGTTCAGGCATTGTTGGACAGCAGGAAAAGGAGAACTTCTCACAAGGACACAGCCAAGGGGTTCAACCTCAGGTTAAGCAGCTTTCTGGTTGTGAACAGGTATTTTGAAGGGCATACGAAGGGTGGAAGGATTACAGGGAAACCTCCACGAGCAGCAAAAGAGAGCAGAGTGGAGGCTGGCAGGTACCACAGCAGCGCGTGTCATTAAACATTTACCAGCCTTTAAAGCCTGGCTTTGCTGGAAGAACTGGCTGGAGAGCAAGTCTGTGTGTGCAGGGGAAGGAAATCTCACTGCAGGACACAAGAGAAACACCACTTCCCATAATAACCCCCCTCCACCAAACCCACCCCGTGCCACGGCTGCAATCGGGGCTGTCAATGTTCCAAGTACAAAGGGTCAAAGGCAGAGCTTGAGGGAAAACTCCAACCTCGCCTTTGTGCAGGGCCATCCTGCCTGATGTCCACTAATGACACGTTACAGGCATAGCTGAGCTGCTCCACTAAGGGCAGTTTCTCCTCTGTGTCGATGCCTTTGCTCTGGAGAAAGTTACTCAATCATCAGCCTTCAGCGATAGCAGCTTATCTCTGATTTAAAAGTATTCCTAAAGGTGCCACTGGCTCTACATGAAGAGGTGCTTCTGAATGGAGGTGAACCAAGCCCAGGGTGCCTCCAGGCTGGAAGGCAAAGGATGTTCAGGGAGGTAAATGCAGCAGAGAAGGGATTAAGTCAGGTACAACAGTGAGAAACTCGCCACCAAGTTAATGCTGTGTTCTCTTGAGTCCCAGCCTGGTATGGGATGAAGGGAGCTCTTCCAGCTCCAGCCCCTGCCCCAGGCAGGGACACCTTCCACTAAAGCAGGTTGCTCCAAGCCCCTGTGTCCAACCTGCCCTTGAACACTG